CATCTACGTGCCAGCAACGAACACACTCATCTACCGGCCGACACGCAGGCGTGACAGAGCATTTTCCCATTTACTACCTACTGTCACGTATTTGTGCCAGTGTCCTGGAACATTTCTCAAACTATAATTTCTGCCACAAGATGGCACTGTATGTCCATATGGTTTCAGATACATGTACATTAGACTTTCTACTCGAAATGAGAGAAGCATGACTCGCATACACGTGTTTTTGATTATATAAACAAATGAGGAACTAAATGTTTCCGAATGGCGTGATTTATGACGTCTCTTTAAATCGCACTTTATACACACGTGGTAGTTGTTTATTGTAAGTAGAAGTTTTATATGCGCTAAAGCGTTGAGTATTTCGGTTTACAGTTCAGTTTTTAGAAAATAATTATATCTTGTTAGACGTGAATTCTTTCTGTTTTTACCGTTGCAATGTCGAAGCGTCGAAAATGTTTAACCAGAGCATGAAATAGCAGAAATGATGCAAAATATTTCAGATATTGATTCTGAATTCAGATATTGATTCTGAAATTCTGATATTGATTCTGAAAGATTAACTGAAAGACATTTTCCAAAACTTTGTTCAGAAGAGACTGATAAGAAAATGAGACGACGATGCTTCGTTTGTTCACATTCCCGGAAAAATCCTCCAAAACGGCAAACGAGTTATTACGAGTTCAAGGAATGTAACGTAGGACTGTATGTAGATCCCTGTTTTCAAATTTTTCATATGAAAAGAGAATTTTGAGTAATATATTTAGTTTTCAGATGTATAATGTTAAGTCATAAAATGGTGAGTAATTAAAATAAAATGTGTAAAATATGCATTTAAACAAGAAATAAGGTAAAGTATATATATAAAAATATCTATAAAGCATAAGCTGTTTAAATACTCTATAGAGCATTATTAAACAATGCGTTGATACTTTGGAAATTTCATGGATTTAGGGTTAGTAGCAAAAAAGCCCCCGGCCCTGGAGAGACGCTCGCAGAAGACACTGCCAGCCTCCGCGATAAGCGCGTTTTCGCTACCCGGCTCAAAGGGGTTAATGAAAGGTGATAACTCACCTAACATACAGAAATAACTTCTAAAGATGAGCATTTAGTTACAAATAATTAAATTAGGTAGTTAAGATAACCTTAGCTATTATAGATTCCCATGTCACTAATAAACAAACCAATGTTCAGACTAATCTCTATTTCATCAACTTGTTAATGTTTTAACAACATACCTTTCAAAAGCAATTTTAACTATATGTAATATTAACATGGAACAACTATATGTAATCAGTTTCTTTAATAAGTTTTCTCTACATTTTAGAATTTGCAGATTTAATTATAGATTTCTGCTATTCTAAAAACTAGATGTATTTAGAAGGTGCAGAAGAAAATGTTAATTTTATTTCTTTACTAATACAAACACTGAGAATAAATACAAAATGATGTAAGGTTAGGGCCAGTATGGCAGAATTTTTAGAATTTATTGAAGCATCAAACAGCAAAAAATAGGAATGGCAAAATTTTTAGAATTTAGGTTTGACACTGGGGGCAAAAAAAAATTTTAGAATTCAGAGAGGCACCAATCAGCAGAATTTAAGACCTACAAGGTTTGTATCAAGAAGCAAAATGTTTGGATGCCTGTCCAGCTGACAAGATTAGAACCATTTCCGTAATGTTCTATGTTTGTGTCTAGTAAAAAGAAGAGAAAATAAAGGGAAAATAAACCTGTTAAGAGAAAGACTTCTGGGATCAAAAATAGAAAATTCAAATAATTATGCTTTCAGTGTTAATACTATGAAGGCATTTTTCATTTTGTCGCATTTTTCTGGAATCGTTTTGTGGAATCGAACTTTTCTTAAATCTTGCCTTCAAATTCTTCTGCACCTCATGGAGTGCAAGGTCTAAAATCCAAAAGAAAAATTATCCTTACCAATTCTGTAAGAATAAGAAGGCAAATAATTTTTGGGAAAAAAATTCAAAGAGGAAAAGTACAATGTGAATTTTACAGGAAAACTGATATACTTTTGAATATTCCGAAATAATTTACATTGGGAAAAAACTCTTACCATGAAAACATATAAACGAAGATAAACTGTATTCATTTTGCTTTTGCTTAAGAAGTGTGTTTGGAAAAACTCCAGTCTAGCATTTATTATCTTGTCTGTTTTTTCATATTAAAAATTTTCGTTAATCACAAAAATGGAAAGTAATGTCATTTTACATGACACAGGAAAATTAAAATGTTTTATTTTAATTTTATTTCTTAAATATAATTTTAACATTTATCACTATTCTAAGGATATATATTAATATTATGTTTGAAAAAAAAAAAAAGGCCACCGAAAAATCCACAAATCTCCAAATAAAAAATTTTGCATAAAAATTGATCTTAAAATCACTCAAATGCTGCTTAGTTGACAAATTTAGCGCCATTTAGTAAAAGAAATCATATCTCAAAAAGGGAAAAAATTTTTTTGATATAATATTTTATGAAATCTCCATTCACATAAAATAATAATGATAATAATTTCAAAATGTTTGTTTCACCTCTTGCCCAGAAATTTGAGTATTGCACAATTTATATTAAAAGTAGCAATGGATTCAAATGATAACCCATCAAATACATAGGAACCAACAAAAAATATTCCTCCAAAATACTAATTCACATTCAAAACGGCAGTTGTAGAAACAAACAGAAATGCCAGATGAGTAAAATTAAGAACTTTTGCTGATTTTGGCTGAGATTATGCACTTTTAAAAGATTGTTTGCAAAAAACCTAAAGACTTTTCAAGGGCCATAAGAACCCTGAAAAGCCATTTTTGAGTTTATTTAAACTACATAGTAAGTTATAACCTTGCTTTTCATGAAATATATGCTTTTCGTTTTTAGTATGCAAACATTTCATAGAAAGAATGTTTCACAGAATGTTTAACAAATCTTACATGGTTAACGAATGTTTAACAAATCTTACATAATTAATTTAATTATTTAGCAAACATTTTTTATTAAGTCTAGCACAATAAAGTTATCATGACAAGGAAAAAACATTTCCCATTTTCAGTGTAATGGATAAAGCCATCTTTCAAATAAAAATTGATATTTTGGATTTCTTCACTAGAAGAGTTGACTGTTCCCATCTTGGATGACTTTATAATGAAGAAAATTATTTATATATATATATAAAAAAAGTTTACAATGACACAGTGTCAAGAACTACAGCTAAATCATGCCATATATATTATCATTACAGCTAAATCAGCAGATATGAGCACAGATTATTTTGAAAAATTAACTTGACAACTGATTTCAGCATACAAAGTGTAAAGAATAACCATTAAACAAATCCTAGAAAAGTTTACCAGAAGAATATCAAACCTTATCAAAATCAAATATATATTTTATAGCTACTCGTATTTTACTTGCATTTGTTACAACATAGTGAGAGGGAGATTTTTCTCAAGCTGCAACAAAATCCAAATACAGAAACCAACATGATGTTGCTTCTGATATACTATTCCCTGTTTTTAACACTCTATCTGACATTAAAAGAATTTGTAATTTGAAAATCCAAATAGAAAGGAAAACTGCATCTATCTTTCTGTGGCATTATCTCCTCCTGAACAGCGAGTTACGTTTCGGGAGAGGTAACCCCGGATTCCAAAGATTTGTGAGAAGCCATTTCGACCATTTTCATCTTACGACTTCTTATGACATAGGAGATATTAATAAAAACTCTGAAAGTGTTAATTTTCCCACTCATTTTTCCGAGTGACAACAGTCTCGCGTGTTGAAGATAAAAATGCTTCATTTTGAAAAGTGTTACTATTGCTCACTTTCAAATAATAGAGTTTGTTAAGCAAAAATTTGTAAGTTTTACAAAATATGAAATAAAAATAGCATAAGGACACATTAAATATATTATTATTATTATATCAAGTCATATTCTGATGTTGAAGAAAGCACACAAATGCACGTGACATCACTGTATGTAAAAAATGTTTCATTAATGTCAGCATTTTAAATAAATAGCTGCTGTTGGCATTCCCCCCCCCCAGGTTAATATAATTGACATGATATGTTATTGCCATGTTAATTCTTTTATTGACATTAAGAAAATGCTATTATATTACATTAAATTTAAATCATGATGTCATGCATATTAACCTGAAGTGTCAAAAATTTTTGTTTCTTGGTTTGGCAATAAAAAAATTATTTATGAATATTGGTTGTTGCTTGGAAAGAAAGAACTCATTTCATTCATATTGAAATGTTTTTATACATTAGCTTTTCAGAGGTACATAGAAATTTTGCTTTGGCTGCAAATTTTATATTATTTGTTTCATTTAATTAATAATTATATTAAATTATTATATATATATTTTATAAATTATATATTTTTTACATTTATTACACTATACATTATGTTATGTTGTATTAAATTAATTTTATCCATTTTTCTGTCAAATTTGAAAAAATAAAATTTTGAAGTATAATATAAAAGTTGGATAAATGTTTATTTTGTTTGTCTAATAAATCTGTGTTATCATCTATTATAACTAACAACCCATATTTACCCTAGTGTTCCTTAAAAAAATTACTCTCTAAAGGGTTAGCAATGAGAAAAGTTTCCAAAACATTAGTCTAAATATTTGTTATTTAGTAGAATAAATTTATATTGAACATTTTTCTTATATGTCCTCTACCTATCCACCAGCTCCAATCTAGCTACATAAGAATCACTTAAGTATTTTCTATCATTAAATAATGAAGAATCTGTATCTAAATATACATGCACTTCGCCCCTCGGAAAAATGGTAGCATGTAAAGCCACCAGATTTTGAACACACAGTCTTCTACCCGAACATGCACCTCAAAACCTGATTTTTCTCCCTCCATATTTAGTATGTGTGAATATAATGAACTTTCGACTAAAAACTCAGCAATTTACAAGAAATGTGTCACCACTTAACAATATATTTAGCAAAGTGCATACATTTTTCTTTCAAATTTATTGTTATTAATTAACAAATTAAATAACTTAAAAGCAATAAATGCAGATCTTCATTTTAATTCTTAATCATTACCAGCTGGAACCATGGAATTATACCTTAACATCATATCCATGAAATTACATTAGCAATTATTCTATACTTTTTCTTTTTTTTTCCCCTCCCCCCCCCAAATTATCTACTTTGGGTAGCTTGTGTCCAAGTATATACCGGAAATGAATATACAAGCTCAGCATAATTCAAAAATATACAAACTTCATTTAACTCATTCAATCACTTATTTTTAGTTAGAAGAATTTTGCAGTTAAAATAAATTTTTCCATTTAATAATTAATAATAAAAGATCAAGACTTTTAGATTATTCTCAGATAATGCAGTTGAAATCATTAAATAATATCTGAAATAAATACAAATCATTTATTTAGACAAAAAATATTCAAGAACTTAACTTCGAAAAATAATATATCAGGCTCTCATAAAACAGTTATGTTTATATCAGATATTTGATGAAAACCCTACCAGTAGAAAGCATTAAATAGAAGTTATGTTTCTTAGAGTGAATTACAAACAAATGTAAGGTCAATTTACTCATAATTTAAAACCAAGGATTACATAATAATGCTTCGTAAGAACTTATTTATATAAATAAGAAATAAGATATATTTATGTAAGAAATAAGATTTATATAAATAAGATATTTTAAATAAAAAACTTATTTTAAAATACTTTCAAATCAATATTTTATAAATATTAATAACTTTAATTTCAATATTTTCAAGAACAAGAAACATTATCAGTCATTAAACATTCTAAGGAAAAATTATTATTAAGGGATACGTATAAAATGCAATACGAAAAGAAAAAAATTTTCTACAGATAAGATTAAAATTTCACTACAGATCTAGTTTACAAAACGATTTTACAAGACAATTTTATTTAGGTTTGGTTTCTTGGTCTGTAACTGTCCTTATATAGATTGCATCTGGTGGGATATCTTTTGCATCCATTTCGTATATGTAAGACGATGCAATGGCTAGAATTGTGCCATCTGGGCTGAACGCTAATGAGGAAATATGAGTTGGATAACGATGAAACTGACACAAACGTTTCTTGTTGAAACCATCCCATATGTTGACAAATCCATCTGAGCCTCCTGTTGCAAAAGTATTGTAACCATTATGGAAAGCTATAGTGTTTACAGGAAAAATAAATTCTACTCCACTGCTCTCTTTTATTCTGTGACACTTAAAAGCATATTTTTTCTTTTGCACGTCTGGGCTGGGATCAAGATACTCAACAGCTACTCGACCTAAACAAAATAAACGCAAATATTAAAAGAAACATGAATAAGAATGGATATGAAAATATGTACGTATTATGAATGAACAAAGAGAGTAATAAATGTTCTTCAGAAAGGTAGGCTTTCTTTGATCCATAAAATAATATTTTTTTTTTTTCATTTGCAATGGCAGAGAATAGGACAAATATTATACTAATAGAAAAAAAAAACTTCTCTGAACAACATATAACATAAAAAACTCAGTAGCTCATCAGTTGGCTTCTAATGCACCAATACCTTTCCACTTCAGAGGCTCCATGCAGCACCAGGCACCTTCTGATGTGGGTCCTGTCCATTTCTTCATTTAAGCTGCAGAGTGAGCAATATGTGCTGGTAAGGAACCTACACAATAGAGATGGCTTGCCAAGCAGTTGTGACCGGTTTTTTCATTTACAATGGCAGAGAATAGGACAAACATTATACTAACAGAAAAAAAACTTCTGTGAACAACATACAACATAAAAACTCAGCAGCTCATCAGATGGCTTTTAGTGCACCAATACCTTTCCACTTCTAGAGGCTCTATGCAGCACCAGGCACCTTCTGATGTGGGTCCTGTCCATTTCTTCATTTGAGCTGCAGAGTGAGCAATTAGTGCTAATAAGGAACCTACACAATAGAGATGGCTTGCCAAGCAGTTGTGACTGATTTCAAGACTAAACCTGGAAAACAGTTATTCCATGTGGTTTGTCTGCTAATTTCTTTTTCAAAACGTCCTTCCAGCTCTTGGTTGAGACATGCATCATAATTTTACCTATTTTTCTTTAAAAAATTTATAAATATTGCAGAATGGTAAGATTCCATTTGAAGATATCTTCTGAACAATTTCCGTACCTTTTTCTGCAAGTCTGTCATCTTGATCATTACCATCAAAGCCACAATGACCAGAAATCCATTGTAATACAATCTCTTTACCCCCAGTCTCAGTTTCCCCAACAGAATTTGACACTCAGAGTTTTCTGCAGAGATTGGACAGGCCCCTGATCCAAAAGCCTGCAGTGCCACCCTGGAGTCCAAGAGGATGACCACTTTTTGTCATATCTGAAATTTGGGGCATTAATCTGTCTTCAGGTCACATTTCATCATGCAAAGGAGTTCTCCATGTACCCATATATATCTAGAACAAAACTGTGCAGTAAACATTTTTGTGCAGCAGTCCGAAAAATAAAGTTATAAAAAACAACCACTTCGGCTTTAGACACGGACATTCAACTACAATGCAAATTTTAACTGTTTGAAATCCAGACCCTTCGCTAAACTGTACCCTCAAAATACCAAACCGCCCGAAATATTTTCCCACTTTCACAGCAATTTCCTCCCTTCCCCATCCATTAACACAGAAAATAGGTGTGAAGATTTCAAATGACATTCTTTGTACTTTCTAACAAAGTATCCATTAGCCTTTGACTCCATTCTTTATGTAACTATTCTGAAGGTCAGACCAACAAGCTTTTCTGGCTTTGTTACGATCACGACTTAGATTTTGTTTATTTCCGTTATTTTTATAGGAAGGAATAAATTGATTAAAACTAAATATAATCCTTAAATTTTTAAACTGCAATTTTATTGCTGTTTAAAGCATAAAAGCACACTGTACCACAAAAGAACCAACAATGAAATGTCATGAGCAAGCAAAAGATAAGAAACCTCTTAGAACAAGCTGTCTGCAGTAAACTGATACAATGCATTTGGGGAAATTGAACCTGCTACTGCATACGTTAGGAGGAGGGAAGAAAACAAGATTACAATCTCGGCCGTTTTCGGGCGGTTCTGGTTGTTTCACTGTATGGCCGTGTCGGGTGGATTGGTTGTGAAAGAATTAAACGTTGTAGAAACAATAGGAGAAGCCTTTACAAATAAATCATGCATTACAGCCTGTATTTTAGATATAGAAAAAGCTTTTGATTGAATCTGGCATACCAGATTAATTTACTAAATGATTTCATTAAGAATTCCTCAAAGAATCATCAGATTAATCTTCATATGTAAAAAATCGAACTTTTCAGGTCAGAGTAGGACAAGAAGTGCCAAAAAGAAATCATGTCAAAGCTGGAGTCACTCAAGGATCGGTACTTGCACAGACTTTATTTATTTTACATATAAACGATCTCCCAGAAGCTTTTTTGTGTAAAACAGCCAAATATGCTCATGATACCATCATTAGGTCTCATTCACGCAAACCACAACATGCCATGGAAAATCTACATTAACTCCAGTTGTCAGTTTAACAAAATATTTAGGAGTCATCCTAGATGAACAATTAATGTTTAATGATCATGTTTCATATACTTTGAACAAAGCCAATGCTGCCTTTATGTCAATCTACAGTTTAATCAGGCGAAAATCAAAACTGAATCTCAATATCAACAGAACTTTATATCTAATGCTTATTCGGCCAATGCTGTGCCCTGTTGAGCTACTGCAGCGAAATATTTTTGTTGCAAGATCATCATCCTTCAATATAAAATTCTTAGAAGTATTACAAATTCATTATGGTTTGTCAGAAACCAACAGATTCATCAGGATTTGAAAATTCGTCATGCCCAAGAGTATATTTTTGATGGCCAAACATAACTTCTTCAAAAGTGTTCAAAATTCTGAAAATCATCATATTGCATGACTCGCAAACTATAATCCTACAACTGAGCATCTTTTTAAATGACCCCATACGATATATCATAATTCTGCATATTAAACTCTACCATCGCAAGCCAAAAGTGCATTACTCTTGTTTCTCTCTTTCCCCACAGTCTGCTCATATTTATTAAGTTTCATCAAAGCAACAGATTCTTATTTTTAGCATTTTGTACAAATCTAACCTTCTGGAGATCAACAAGAAAGGCATTTTGAACTTTGAACCTTTTCAATGACTTGCCTAAGATCAACTCCTTTCCAACCACCCAGATGGCGCCAGGATCATTGTATCTCTCCCAATTCTGCTATTAGCAAGCAAAACTCACCAGCTTGATTTTTCTACAGCTTTTCTCGTATGTTTTTGCATTTTTCCCCACAAAGAGAAAATAACTTCATGTTTGTTTAACTTAGACACTAATCTATATTGCGCAAAAACGCTTATTTTTCTATTTCCAGTCAAGGGCCTGAGAGCACATCACATACTAGAGGTCAAAACTCCTAGCAGTTAATGCCTTGAGAACCACCAACAATGTCCGTTGTCCAACAGTATATGAAACACCCATACATATGTGAAATCAGTCCGCTTCAGGTTAAATTGTATACATAGTCTCAAGGGCCAAAATTCTTAAAAGTACCTTGAGATATTTGATGTTTTAAACTACGTTGAATAAGATCTAAGCTGATACTTCAAACTATGTTGAATATGATCGAAGTTGACTTTCTCCAAATCAAGTCTCGAGAAATAAAAAGTATACATACTTTCAGAAAAGTCTGAAAAGTCATTTTCCAGTTTGAAGTCTGAGCTAAGCTTCATCACCTTCTGGAAGAATTCCTCTTGGGTTATAAGATATTCTGTGGTCACTTCTACAAGGCCCAAGTTAAAAGATTGCAAGATGAAAAGTTAGAAACACAGGAGGAATATATAACAGCACAAAAAATGAAATGTTGGATTCTCTAATAGGGTAACAACAGGCCCTTTGCAGAGTGGATGAAATCAATAACCAAAGATCAGAGACATTATAGCATATGGAAAAACTCCTCGGTGCCAACAGAAAAAAAAACATTTATTCAAAGTATCATGTGCAGTCCTTCATTTATATACAGCATGCCATTTTAGTACTAAGTAGCCATTATAAAATGAAATTTAATTTTTTTATAATAATGGATTAATTAGTTTCCCTTTATTTCTTACAGGAGAATTTTGTTTGGTAAACGTCCAGTTTAATACATGACTAAGGATCTGCAACAGATAATGATGTACATCAAAGTACCACTTTATATATTGTTACAAAATGTACAGGAGCGGTAAGATGGCTTCCCCGCAAAGCAGTTTTAGGGTTGCCATAAAATGGCAAGGGAAGGCAGGGTTGCCACAATTGGCGACAAAACTGGCGATATGCCATGGATGGATGGAGAACCTTCTAGAACAAATTCTTACCAGTTTAGCCCAGAATGTTCTCGAACACAAGCCGAAAGCTATATAAACCCTGCTGGTGTGCAGTCAGTTAGTGTGCCTCGTCGAGAGGGCGAATGAGTGCCTCGTAAAGTGCGAGATAGTTAGTATCGAGTTGTTGCTCGTCTAGCAAGTCGATCGAGTTGGCAGCCGGGCAGCAAGTGCTGAGTGGGTCATCGAGTACACCGAAGAAGTCTCTTAGTGTATCGCGGTTAGTGCCTCGTCGAGAGAGTGTGTTGAGCTCCAAGAACGACTGAACCGAAGAGTCAGGAGCTGTGCTCTAGGTGTCGTTGAGTGCACTGCAAGTTGTAGCGTGAAGAGTCTCGAGAGTACGTGAAGTTCCGAGAACGACCAAGCAGAGCCAGGAGCTGTACTCTGGTGCTTTGCGTGAAGTTGTCTCCACCGTGATAGCCTGATAACCTGAAGGCTGTTTCGCTGATTGTGTCAGCGTGTTTATAACAGTTCGAAGACAGTAAACGAGATTTTGGAGCTGTCTTGATTAATACCGGCCAATAAAGTGTGTTTCGATACTTCATCAAGTGTCGTCGTTATTCACTCCAAATCCATACGAACCCTGTACGAACATGAAGGAAGAAAATAATGTAACAACTGGTGTCAGAGAAGAAAAACATAACAATATTTAATAAGTTCTGTTGAGTTATATTATTTTGTTTACAAAATTGTATTAAATATTATAATAAACTCCTGCTATATTTAACTTTTCTGTACAGATTTTGATTGAATTGCTAATTTATCTTTTACTGTAATAAATTTCATTATTATAGATGTTTCACATCTGGCAACAAATCACACTCCCTTACGACCGAAATACTGCATACCTCATTAGAACTCTATGTATTCTGTTTTTAAAACAGATAAGAAAATCTGAAGTTAGCTGAGAATGCAGTAGCAGTTATACTGAAATGTTTTCTGAATCATTAAACCTCCTCTCGAAGTTTTCTAATAATGACAATGCCACATGGTTTTCACTATTTAAACGTTTCTCTCCGATGTTCCAAAATATTTTTTTAACTCCTTCTCAATTCAAATGTCATAATTTCAGTTTAATTTCAATTTTTTTTTACTTATTTTACCATTTGCTTTCCATTTACTTTTTTGTTATATGATGAAAGCTGGATCCACAAATTCTAAAATCAACAGATTGGGTACACTATTTTCATGCAAATTTAAAAAAAAAAAAAAAAAAAAAGGACTAAACTGGACTTTTATTAACATGATAAGCCGAATAAAACATAAGAGAAAAACAATTCTTTCCTGTTAAATAAGGACAAATAATCAGCCCAGTTAATAACTGTGTAAAGCGATAACAGATCTTTACAATTACAACTATATAACCTTACAGCTATAATTCTTTAAAATTAATGATAAGGTTCCTAACCATCTTTGTCATTATTAATGATATGGTTCCTAAATTACTATAACAAAGACGGTTAATACATCTAACAAAAAGAAAACAAATTCAAGATACACAATGCTAGTTAGGAAATATAAATAATCAATGAAGTCTTACTGATACTTAAGTTAAAAGTTTAGGTATTCAGGGCCCCTCTTTTTTTTAAACTACATGTATGACCTTTCTTATAGTGTAGGAAAAATTTTAATAAATAATAATGCAGGTGAATATCCTATGAGAGCATGGCTCGGACTGGAATTTATTTGTTTTTGATTAAAATGAAAGACAAGCTACCTAATTAAACACAATATTTTAATATGGTATACACATTAATATAGAAAAAAGTAATGATATATTATTACCTATTTCTTTTCAGACAAAATTGCAACTAACATGATGGATGTAGGCATAAACTGAAATAGTTCAATTAGATGTGGCTAATTAGAATTAGCAATAGTTATGTGTTTATACATATATAGTAATTATTGGTGTGGTTTATTTAGCATTCAAACGATGTAATTATTCTATATTCTTTGATAATTACATGCCTTCCTATCATTTTGGCAATTTTGTTTATCTAAATTTTCGATTACTAGACAAAACCAAATTTTACAGTAAAATATATAGCAAATTATGAGGGGATCTTATACTTAAGTATATGTGATGCTCTACATTTTTTATTCAATTCATAAAAGAAATATTTTTTCTCCTTATGAAACTTCAGAAAAGGTGACATAAAGTTAACAGAGTATATGCTTAAATATGCATTCATTAAATAATTTGAATTTGTCTTTCCAGCTTTAGAGTTTTGCTTCTGACCTGCATGGGCAGCAAATGATAAATTTATACATTTCATTAAAAGAAATGAAACATCTAAAAATTTACAACCTTCTATTGAGCTGAGCACATATCCTTGTTTATTAGGGAAACAACGTATGCATCTTGTCTGATATTTAAGACTTGATTCTCGACGCTGCTGAACATAACCCATATTTTGCAGGTCCCATACTAGAACTCTTCTGCCAGCTGTACCTACTATTAGTTTATCACCACAAACAGCCATTGTATAAACCTGTAAATTTAAAAATACATTCATTATTCAATATTATAGATACTACTATGGAAAGGAAACAAAAGATTTATCTTCAGAACATTATGATTAACAAATCATACAAAATGCACATATGTATTTATAATCATGAGCACAATTTAATATTCTTCATTAATTCATCATATTTAATATTCAAAAAAATTCAGTACTTTTTTTAAAGTCACTCTTACTTATATGTGATTTAACATTATCAAATTACCTAGTTGAAGAACTGCATATCGTTTAGTGATTAAAACCTGTTTCAAGTTCTCTTTTGTTTTTAAAAAATTTTTAATAAATCATACTTCAGTATTGGGTACTTTTCCTGTCAAAGCCTAACCACACGTTTTTGGCCCAATATTGGAACATTTTACTTTTTTTCTTATGCTTTTGCTTCAGTGCTGGAGGAAACAGAACCATCAGTATCAGCAGTATAGAATACCATTCTTTAACTTCAACATCAAACTCCTCCAAAAACTAGTTGAGAGGAAAGAACATGGTCTTTTGTGAGAGCCTGAGTATTTCCATAATTTGTTGTAATCATCAGTTTTAATGTTAGGATGAAATAAAAAGGAATTAGCACATACATCAGTTATTTAATTATTCTAATTACTAAGTGATTTATTTGAAGCAAGCTCTGGTTCACTACATTCAATAAACATTAACTTCTAACATCATAAGCAAATAAACTTTATGGTAGGAATGAAACTAATGCATGTTCTAACTAACCACATTATTGTTTGGACACCTTTTTCCTTCTAGCATGAGCACCAATAAGCCAAAACAGAAAAAGCACCAAGTGGTATTGCTTTGATGGAAAAATACCGCATATCCAACTACCTGCAAATTAAAACCTTCCTTGAATGTAAACTTGGTTTTCCTGCAAGACTTGGTTTCTTTTTCACTCAACCTTTTACAGGCATACAGAGTTCATTTCATCTGCAATTTTATAAAAAGGCTCAATTTAATTTTCTTCAGACAAAGAAGTGAAAATAATCATTGCTGATGGGTTCCATTTGTAAATTTCTGTGGAAACCAAACTCCAGCATCAGAAAAATTTTCTATTCATTTCAGATTTCTTGACTGTGTTGACTGAAAATTCTATATGCATATTCAATTTAGTAACTTCCTACCCTTAATAATCAAATTTTCTCTCTCAAAATTTAAACCTCAAAAATTCTCTAAAAAAAATCTTGAAAAGGGAACCTCAAAACTTTAATTTTGAGAGTCTCTATCTCAAATTTTAAATTTCCATTCTAAAACTCCTTAAACTAGATCTAGCCTTGGCAATATGCTAATGAAACCCAAGTAATCTCTACATATAATAAAACAAAGAGTCTGTCTGTGTGTGTGTGCGTGTGTCTTTCGTTCGCGCTGCGCGTAAGCTAATAGACCCACGGCTACGAAATTTGGTACATAGGTGCATCTAGACAAGAGCCAGTGCACCTCGAAGCGATTTTTTCGAAATTCGAATTAGAATTTTTTTATCTTACGTTTTGTGACGAAATCGCGTCATTTTGAGACATAATGAGCTATAGGAAAGCAAGATTTTACTCTACACACTCCCTTTTCACATCGTCATGAAACGTAGGCACTTAGCTATTTTACGAACTTACAATAAATTTCGTGTTTCAATAAATCGATTAAATACGAATTTATTTAACAAAGGGAGCTTAAACACCTTTTCAACGGGATTTTTTCTAAATAAGTTTATTTTTAAAAATGTACAGTTTATTTTTCTTTGATTTTTGGACACGTTAAACTTTCATCCTTGCGACTGCTTTTACAAAAAGAATTTTGGAAAAATAATAATATTTTGTATTTTTAAAGAAATTTTTAAATGAAGCTTCCGAGTACACTTCTCACATCTCACATCTTTAAAAATGTGATTTTCGCAACAATTTTCCTGTCTTATTGTTGTTGATAGATTTTTGATGAAATCGCATCATTTTGAACAGTTTCATTCTTTTAGAAATATGGGTTTGGCAACAATTGTTCATCGTATTTCTTATGTCACAGTTTTTAAGAGTTTGGCGTATTTCATTGTCCTTTTTATATATATAATACATTTTTATTTTATTATTATTTTTTTATATATATATAAAATTGTTCTGTAGAGTAAAATTCTGCACAGAATTTTATGTCTTTTGAGTTGCTTTCATGTTTTTTGCTTATTTCACGGTTTGTAAGATATTGAAAAGTTTTGCATGTTTTTTTTTTTTTTTTTTTTTTCCCCTTCAACGGAAAGTTGGTTAATTTTTTATTAGGATAATTAATATTTGTATTAAGGGATATACCTTATTTCATTGTAATTTTTTTCTGTTGAAAATATAAGATAAAATATCATTAATTATACTTTGCTTTTCAGATTTTTTTTTTTTTTTTTTTTTTTTTTTTTTTTTTTTAATGTTATTTATTGCTCATTTCACTGTTTGTAATATATTGAAAGATTTTGTATGATTTTTTTTTTCTTCAATGGAAAGTTCGTTAATTTTTTTATTAGGATAATTAATATTTGTATTAAGGGATATAGCTTATTCAATTTTAATTTTTTTTCTCTTGAAAATATAAGATAAAATATTTTAATTATACTTTGCTTTTCAGAATTATTTGTTTTTTGTATTCTTTTAAGTTATTTATTGCTCATTTCATGGTTTTTAAGATATTGAAAAGTTTTGCATGATATTTTTTCCTTTAACGGAAAGTTGGTTAATTTTTTAATTATGATAATTAATATTTGTATTAAGCGATACAGGTTATTTCATTCTAATTTTTTTTTCTTGAAAATATAAGATAAAATATCATTAATTATACTTTGCTTTTCAGAATTTTTTTGTTTTTTTTTTTTTTTTTTTTTTTGTATTCCTTTATGTTATTTATTGCTTATTTCACTGTTTTTAAGATATTGAAAAGTTTTGAGTGATTTTTTTTAGGAAGCAAAGTTTTTAACCTCCTTTATACCATTTGAGTTCTTAAGATTTTGCAAAGGGAAGTTGGTTAATTTATTTATTAGGATAATTAATATTTGTATTAAAGGATATTGCTTATTTCATTGTAATTTTGTTATATGTAATAACTTTTTTTATGAAGTTGTTCCGCAGAATAAAATTCTACGCAGTTTTTAAATTTAATGTTTGGTGTTCCCTTCAGGAATTTTTCCGGTACATTTAAAAGCCAGACAAAGGCTGGCAGGGAAGCTGCTAGTACTATATATATTTCAAATAGCTTCTGTAGACAGCAAAAAGCATACAGCATGAAATGGACATGCACTACTTATAACATGATTTCTCTATAAATAAAATTAATGAAATGTTAACTCAATACAGTTGTGAAAGAAAAAGCATGGTATCAAGATTATCATAATCTAAAGATTTTGATTTCAGAATAATTTTAATACATTTCCATTCACTTGAAACATTATGCACACACATGCTATGTCAGATCACATAACTTCTTTTCCAAATGGATACAAAGAGATGGACGTACAGTTAGTTTTTGATGTTACAACTGCAGTGAACCTTTGTATAGCAACCACTGAGAGAAATTAATATTTCTGAGAATAGAGATAAACATGCACATTGAACATGATCTTTCTACGATGACCACATTCATAAAAGATCAAAATCACTTGGCACTTTGGGTTGTCTTAGGCTGCTATCACATGTCGATTTGTTTTGGAAGAACAATTGTTTGGAACAATTTTTCAGCTTTGTCACAACAGCCAATCACCACAGATCGCTTTGGGGTTAACACAGGGCAAACTGTTTCCCATTACAAACAAGCTGATTTGTTGAAAACGAACAACTTGCAATTTTTTTGGAAAGGAAGGAAAAAGTCACACGTCTTTCTTTCAATAGTAAACCAGGCAGAAAAATTGTCCAAAACAGTCGTTTGTGTGAAACAAACACCGTGTGATATGGACCTTATTAGTGTATAATAGTTTATGCCTGACATTTCATTACATCAAAATTTAGTATTTAACCAGTATAAACGATCTGTTTAATTAACCTATTAGCTGCTGGTGTTGTGCTGACATAAGGGTCAAAATAAATGCATACAAAAATATAACTATCAAAGATATTTTATACTAGCAGATGACTTTGTGTAGAGAATAGTATAAATATTATTTCTGTAAAAAATGTCTTTAACAATAATTTTGCTTATTATAATTAGTCCCATAGTTGAAGTAAAAATTTAAGTAAAATTTTCGACCAGGTATTTTTGCCAAAAAATTTTAACGAAAGAATCACTGTCTTTAAGGGTTATCTATTTTTAGCCAAGATCACCACTTATAAGAACATTACATCCATTAGCTGTCTGTATTTGTGTGGGAATGGAAGAAAAAATAGGTGTTGTGCTGGTGCAACATCAGCGGGGAAAGAGTATTTCCCTTTTTACTCATGCTTTTGAATGCTCTAGTTGATATTCGTTCCATACTTTAAAAATGCCTAGTGAGGTACCTTACATTAGAAGAATATTATTGCTTATGGGATATCATTCTTTATCCCAAGAAAAAATGTATTAGTCTCTTGATAAGGACATTTCTATTCCCACTGTATAAGAATCGAAGTCATGTTTGCTGTACAGGAATTTTTTAGAAGCAGAATTTTCATTTACCTAACAATAATCAAATTGACAACATTGATAGATTATATGATGTGAGACTGTATCTAAACTTACTAAATAAGAAATTCCAACAATTTGGTATGCTTTCCCACGATTTGAGTATTGACGAGCAAATGATTTCTTTTCGAGGCAAACATTTTTTTGAAAGGGATACCTATAAGATATAGTTAAAACGCATGATTCTGGAGCCATCTGGTATTGACATATGTTTCACTTTGATATTTATTCAGGTAAGTTGGCAGCTCCAAAATTATCAGAATATGAAAAACTTGGTCTTGGGACTGTGGTGATAAATTTTCTCAGTGTTGTTGTAAGTCCTGAAAAACATGCTATTAACTATGATTACTTTTTACATCATTTCATCCTCTCTGTCATTTACAAAATAAAGATTTTAGTGCTACAGGAACAAACCACATACAAACGTGCCCACTAGAAATGGTGAAATGTGTCCGCAAGAAAGAGAGGAGTGGTTATAATTTTCAATAAGAAGTGAAAAACAAAATAATTTTTGTCCCACGGAATGACAATTCAGTTGTAACTGCTGGTTCAACATTTGGAAAAATTCAGCCTGCAAAAGTGTTTCCCGTTATTCAAGAACACAATGAAAAAAGGGTTTCTTTGTGTTCTTGTCTTATTGAACAATACAATGCCAAAATAGGAGGAGTCGATTTATGTGACAATTTAGTAGCCAATTACAGAATAAGAATTTGTGGCAAAAAATAGTGGTGGCCAAAATTTACTAATTACAATGATGTATCCTTGACAAATGCACCCATACCACGACTTTCTATTTACTGGAAATAAAAAAAGTTTCTTTTAGATTTCAGACTTAAAGATTACATCATTCCTTTTGCAATCTGCTCTTGAGAATATAGAATTAGCCAGAAATAGATCAGCAATAGGAGGATATAATAAATTCAGTATTCAAAAGCCACTGCATGGAGATGGTAGACATTTTATCATAAAGTCCAAGGATAACAGAAGACTTTATTGTAAAGAATACCATAGGCAGGACTGTTTATAAATGCAAAGTATGCAATGTAGCTTTACATCATGATTATAGTGAAACTTTTCATGCTCGAATCGTTTAACTGAAAATAATCTGTATTTGCAAAAGAAATACAATGTAAATATTAATACTAAACTAATTACAAGTAAAGTGATTTGTAGATTTATAAAATGTTATACAGCTAAAAAGTAATCCAGTGCTCCACTCAAAGAAAAACTTTGCAAGAGTACAATCATACTCACTAAACAACCATATTCTTATTCCGCTGACATTGCACTATACTCAATTTTTCCATAGGTAAGAACATTTTTTTTTTTTTTTTTTTTTTTAAATTTTATTTTCAATGTAAATGTATGTTTTAAACACATAATTTAATGCTCATTATTATTTGTATAAGAAATTATTCCTTGCAGTTTTGGTGGTTAATGGGTTAAGAATTTTAGTATGGCTATGTTATGCAAATAAAAAAACAACAAACTGATTTTCATTAAAGACTATAAAAATTAAAAAGTGTTAAAAATACAATAAATAACAAGAGGTGATAAAAGGATCAAATACTTTGTCTGGTTGAGTAAATGTTCCAGCACATTGGTTAGACCTTGAGTCCCACATTTTAACAGTTCGATCCCAACTGCCAGTAATAACAACATTAACTTCAGGACAATATTCAACACATTTTATAGGTGCATCATGAGAACCAACATGAGTCTCTATATAATGAAAAATATAAACATAAGCATAACATTAAACAAAAAAAACAAAAAAAAAAAAAAAAAAAAAAAAAAAAAAAAAAAGAAGAAGAAGAAGAAGAAGTTGAATTTTGAATTAATTAGATTTTTGATATGTTGATGCATACAGGTAAAAATAAACTGCTCATTGACATTTTCAGTTATCCTTACATAAAACTAGGGCTGTTCCTAGTTCCTATAGTTAATAAATCTTGGATAAGTATGCGGGGCCATTGGCTGCCCGCATACTTATCCAAGATTTATTAACTATAGGTTTTCTGAATTATGATCAATTTCGATGGTTAAATCTTTTAGAAAAAATTTGCCAAAATCATCCATCCCGCTCTTTTTTCCATTCCACTAAGTATAAAGGTTTAAGTAACTTTTAACCTTTACAGGTAGTATAATTAAAAATTTAATGGCTTACTAAATTAATAAATGTAATCATTTTAATTTACGTGTTCCTATTTATTTCTGTATTTGAAAACTGCATTTCTGTGGTGTCATCTACAAAATAGTTAACTAGCTAAAAGCAGTAGATTAAATACTACATGAATATAAATGGATAAGATGTTGAGTCAAATGAAACGCTCCAGATATGACTGAAAGGAAGTGCAATGTTTAATCAACATACTCTTTATATTTAACAGCAGTATTATGTAATTTATGTTCTATGTATAAACCGAGACTAAATTTAATCCCTTAATAAACATTAAAAGTAAAATTACCCAAAGGTATTCAGATAAAAAATATCTATTTCCTATATTAAAAATAAATAAATAAAAGATGTTAAAGAAATATTTTTCATAACCTCTATCATGTCTTATTGTGAATAATTTATAATTCCACCTTTAATTTTTCTATATTTATTTCAATTAATTATTACTTAATATATAAAAATAATAAAGAAATGAAACATGTAATCATTTTTTGAGCTGCCATCTATTACAGCTCCCCCCCCAGAGAATTAAAACCTAGATATTAATAAGATTAAATGCTGCACATGTTAGTTCTGATATGAAAAAAAGAAATCTGTTTACATAACTTGAATGTTACATTTCATTTAAACTATTCAATTTAAGCAATCTTGAACAAAAAAATTACAGTTATTCAAAATTACAACTAATTTACCACCATTATCATGCATCTGATACATTATAATTTAAATATCCTTACAAAGAAGTGTAAAGCCATTCAGCAAAAGTAAAAATGTGATTTGACTTTATTACCAAAACAAGTTTCAAGTTTCACCTTTGTCTCTCCACCACTCGTATTAAATACACAGAATTGAATGAATAGAAACTTCTACATATATTAACAAATTCAACATCTGCAAAATTAATTTAACCTTGAAATTCAAAATTATCCACACCATTGCTGCTTAAACATTATGCCAAATCAGTACACACTATTTTTGATTATTTTTTGTTATGCCTACAGTATTGGTGCATACTGCTATTACACACTGCATATCAAACCATTATGTTATAATAAATTTATTCTAATTTGTGAGAGAAAAAAATATTCATACACATATAAAAAGTTACATTCAGCTTAAATCCATGCAAAAGCCCATTATTTTGAAGAGATAGAACTTCATTAACATCACAGCCAATAAACAGCAAGAATGCACTTTTGTTTATTTACCCATGTGAGCTAACCTATTCTTCTACAGACCTTGCATACTCTCCTCTATGTCTGCCCATTCTCTCGATCTCTAATTTAGCACCTCATAAAAAGCATGAAAATCACATTATATGATATGTATGTATGAATCATGGAAATCACATTTCATTTCAATGTCAGCAGTCAGCATTTGTTTCCAAAGCATTTTTTCTGAAATTTCAAAAATGATCACAGATTATTTAAATTCTATTTGTTGCATAATATGGTTCGAAATTGTTTGCATTCATGTTCAGGTCTTCAGTTTGGACACACCTGCTATATTATGAACAAATAAATTCATTCAATTTTATTTCAGAATTTTTTTAGAAATCAGAATCTTTCTTGTATGTAAAGATTAATCTATCCGCCAATATAAAGAAACAACCATTGACATCATAGTTCTTTATATCTTGCATATATTTACTGAAATAATAAACATAATAATTCAGTTTTTCAGAAGTAAGGTAAAATATTTCAAACAGTGACCTACCAAGTGTTTTTAAGAAGTGTTTTACTCAATAGTTTTTATAATAATAATAATTATTATTATTATTTTATTATTATTATTTTTTTTTTTTTTTGTTTTTTTTTTTTTTTTTTTTTTTTTTACATTCTGCGTTTCCTGTTTTCATCTTTCTCCAGATGTTGAAACAGAAAAAACTGTCTGAGTATCAGAATGTAATGAAGAAAAAGAAAGTGAGAGGAAGACTTAATAAAGCAAAACTTTAAAATTACTCAGTTTTTCCAAAACCCAGGGAATACCCGAGCTGACGCTACTAGCACTAGTTGTCCATCAATGTCACCAACAAGGAAAGAGTTAAAAGGGATTAGTTGCTAAATTCTGCTGAAAAAAAATTCTGTTTATTATTTTTGCTGCAAACGTTTTAACAGTTTCAGCAATGTAAAACTAACTAGTTCTGAATTTAACGATTAAAACCACTTAAATGAACGCTTAAAACTTCATGAAAAAAATTAATTGCGTTTCTAGAATCTACAACTTTGGTCTGATTTCTTAGAACGATTACAAAAGACTAAACTTGTTGATTCGGAATTTCAAAATTTATTAGACTAAACATTGGCACAATGTTATTGAAAGAATTATCTATGCCAGTGTTTCCCAACCTTTTTTTCCTCACGAACCAAAAGAAATGTCCGAAAAAATTTGACAAACCCCTTATGTAGTCGTTAATGACAAGTAAAAAATAAAAAATGAAAAAAATCGATAGAATATATATTTTTCATATTGCAGAATAATTCATTATATTAATTGTAAAACATTTAAATAAAACATTAATAAGACTAAAATGATGGCTATAAAAAGTTGAAAACAAGATAAATTTAACAAACTGGTTCTTATGTTTTACATTTGGAAAAACGCTTAATGGGATATCTGTGGCTGTTTGATAGAACGAAGCAATTCAAAGTTAGGCTCAATATCTGACGATTTCAAGTCTTAGATCAGGTTCTGCATTCAACTTTTTTCTGTATTTATCTTTCGGATAAATATATGTGGAAAATCCTTTCTCACATAGATATGTTGTGCAAAATGTAATAGAACTTCAATGGCTTTTTTTGACAGAACAGGATATTCATTTGTATACTGAGCCAGAAGTCAATTAAAGATTGATCTTTAAAAATTGCTTCTAGAGAACTGTCACAAGATAACTCTATGAGTTTTTCTTTTTCCAGTAGTATATTTAGAGATGTTTCTGAACTTGCATTTCCTTGAAATAGGATTACGTATCCAGTTGTTTGGGAGATCTATAAATTGCATCTGTTGGGAAAATGGTCATCGAAAGTTAATCGAAGATAGTTCAGATGTTCACATATACTCCTTTTAATGTTTTCATCAAGTTTAATTCAATTTTCTGATAAAAAAGTGCTGACAGAATCGAAACATCCATACTCATTCATCTGCAGGCATTAAATCCAAAAATTGATCTTTTTCAACATAGCCTCAGTAGTACATATCATGTACACTGAAAATGGTGACACCCCTCGCCTTGTAAAGACATATTTAATTCATTCTGTTTACAAAAACTGTCAGCTAAATACGCAAGCTTTTGCAGCCAAAGAACATCGGATTATACAAGAAGACAAATTGAAACGGATGATCAATAAAAAATGCTCGAATTTCAGACTTCAAGTCAAACAAACGCGTCAAAATTTTACCACGGGAAAGCCATCTAACTTTCTGTGTGAAGTAGTAAAGAAACGTGGAAACTTCCAAAATCCTCACAAAGCGTACGGAATAGATGGCAATTTGTAGCACGCGATTTTATAAAGTTCACAATTTTCACAGCCATCACTTAAAGTAGTAGATAACTCTGCAGGAATACGCTTACATACTTAAAGCTTGTCTATGAATACAACAATGAGTCCATTGAATTTTCTCGTTGATCTTCTTCACCCGTGCCACAAAACCAGAAAAATTTTCCTGTCATTGATTTTGCACCATCTGTACACACATCCACACAATAAAAGACCAGCTTATTCCATTCTTTTCAAAATACCCATTGAATCATATCAAAAATCGCTTCTCCAGTTGTGTAGGTTTTCAAAGGTTTTGCAAATAGCGTACATCTTCTTGAACACTATTCGTAAAAAGATATCTAACTGTAGACAAAGCAAGACTGCGGCATTTGTTACATCCTATCGATTCGTCAAGTTAAATTGCAAAATAATTCAATTTTATTCTTTTTAGAAGTTTCGTTTCCCACATAATTAGCCAAGTCATTAATTCTAGGCGACACCTGTGTTGTTTGATAAGGGAACTAGCTCAATTTTCTTTGCTGCCTTTTTCCCCCAAGCATACATTTGGCGATATCTTTCGCACATGGTCCAAATAAATTTTCTGCTTATTATATGCGCTTGTCCAGATCTTGCAATTCTATAACTTACTCTAAATGATGCTTCAAGGACCATATTTTTTAAAGTCAAGAAAGAAGAAAGGCTACACTTTTTGATATCTGCTAATTTTCTTTCGAAATATTCAAGAGGTTTATCTTTGTATGTCGGATGTTTTGTTTCAAAATGTCTACGAACAAGTGATGGTTTTAAACTGATATTGGAAAGAACTTCGTTACATATAACACAAAGCGGTTAAGGTTACGACCCAGTAAAATGAAAACGCAACTGTAGATAGTCGTTGTCATATTTTCGATTTTTTCCTTTTCTATCATCATTTCCTTTGTTTTTCGTCTGGTGAAACGGTACTTCACTACAGCTTTCAGTGCTATCATCTCGATTATAATGTCTCGTTTCTAAACGACCCGTTTTTAATCATCGATCCATAATAAAAAAATAAGATATAATAA